TCCCCACATATCTGAAAAAGGACTTTTTGTTGTCCTTGATGCTCAAAGCTAGTTGGAGTTCAGTTGCAGCCTTGGCTTTCCTGGTTTGTGCCCTGCAGGACTGGACCAGTGCAGAATAATCCTCCTTGGAGGTGAATCCCATCCTCCATCCTTTGTAGGCTTTTCTTTTTAGCCTTAGGAGGTCTGCTAGGTCCCTGGAGAGCCAGGGGGGCTGCTGTGTCCTCTTGCTGCCTTTCCTTCGAGATGAAATAGACTTAGCTTGTGCATTGAGGATCGCTCCCTTGAGGAGCAGCCACTCTTCTTGAACTCCCCTCTCCCTGGGGTCGTGGTCCCTTAGGGCCTGACTGACAAGATGCAACCTCTGTTAAACACATGCCATGTGAAAAAAATACATGCCTCTGCTGGGGTGTTAATGATCGTAGCCTGCATGAGAAACCTGTACCCAGACTGTAACTGGAGGTTGGATAGCACCATTTCTTGAAGTGGAGGGTGGTAAGGCAAGTGGCCAGGTATAACTGCCAGGTAGCCTCACACAATCTAACCAAGCACACAGTTGTTTATCATAAGTTACAATGAGCCAACGTATGCATGGTGTTTGCAAGATGAAAAATGTGGTATACGTAGATGGGGGTATCATTAACAATAATAGTCCTACTTTGGAGTTGGTCTCAGTTCAATGCTTTTACAAGTAAAAGCAAAGCTGGGACAGCTTCATGGCATGTGGCAACCTGCAGGTAGTGGGAAAAGATAGATGCCCCATTCAAGCAAAAATCACACTACAGATTGATCTGATTCAGGGCTTTATTAAGCTTCTGGAAGCAAGAAGGCAGATATGCATCTATTTCAGCAAGTGCAGACTCCCAGGTCTTGCACCAAAGATTCCCACTAGTACTTAAGCATCAGCACCTTGTCCGGTTTCTTCATCTTTGCCTGCCAGGCAGAGGCATCCAGCTTTTTCTCCACAGTGTGTAGTTGAGCCGTGGTCTCTGTCAGCATGTCCATTAACAACTCAAGCTGCAACTTCAGGTAATTGTTCTCCTCCAGAAGGGTCTTGTTCTCCTTCTTGAGGACCTTGTTGGACTGCTCTTGGCCAGAGGAGGGGAATAATTGCCGAAATGGAAGCTGATGGGTAGGGCTGCCTTCACTCTGCCATTTGCCATCCTGGAAGACAAACTTCACATTGCTCAGCTGAGCCTGTGGCAGGCCATAATCCAAACCTAGTTCCATCTGCCGGGTCCTGTGGTCCAGCAGGTAGAAACTGGACAAGGAAGTAATTTGGCGAAGTGGGGGCCTCCTGGGCAGAAATCTCCGAGATAAATGGGTTTCCCAATACTCATGCAGCTCCTGTACTATGTTGGCAATGGCGTCCATGGCAAGGAGAGCTGAAAGCAGAGCAGTTAGTCAAGAAACCTGCGGCAGGAAGCTGTGGAACCCCAAAACAAACTATAGCAGGAGGTACAACGCTGAGAAGCTAGATGAGATAGCACTGAATTAGATGAGAAAACTAACAAATACAACCTAACACACAGGCTCAGCTACCTCAACCCAGCACTTTGGTCTAGGCCGGCACTCCTAAAATACCATTCCTCAGCTCTCTGCATAAATCACCCTACCAAGCAGGGAAATCCTGGAGAGAACATGCAGCTCTGGTATACAGGTTAAAGAGGCATCCAGACACATAAATATAATGTAAAAGTTGCACCTTTGAAAAGTAATATGCAGAAACTCTGACCCAGTTAGTCTCCAAAAAGTGTTAGCCTACCCTCCTTCACCCTGAAGATGGAAGTCATGAGCCCAGATAATTCTCCTCCCTGGCCCCCAACAACCACACACAAAAAGATTCTTCTTTTCATTGATGTCCCACCCCCACTGAGGAAACAAAAGTCCATCCCCTGCCTTTCTTATGGAGCCAGCAGTAGATATTCTGCAGGTCTGCAGTGAGGGAGAGAGCCAGACAGGCAGGGTTGAAGGATGTGCATCCTTCTTCTACCCTAGGAAAGACAGGAGTCGGAAGTTGTCCCAGCTTGTCCATGGGCCCCTCTATTCTCTAGAATCCTGGGCCACATCCAGATGAGCATGAATGTGTGTTTCTCCAGGGACAAGTAGCAGTGGCACACACGCTTTGTGCCTCTGCTGCTTGTACCCGGGGAATGCCAGTGCTTCATGCACTCTGGCATGCACAGGTTACCCCGGGTGGGGTACGGGAAGCTGAGGCCAGCAACTGTATTGGCCCCAGCAGCCCCACCTGGGGGCCTTGGAGAGCTGCAGCCATGGCGCGCCTGCAGCAGAGAGCCTGGCCAGCAGCTGGAGCATGACCCTGACCGGCCAGGCTCCAGTTTTGTGCAGCGCATGCTGCTGCCATGTGCACTGCCCCACATTTTTAGGCGTGAGTCTTTTTGACCCGGGGATCTCCCAGGGTCAACCCTCCATGCTGTAAAGTAGCAGTGTGGGGAACACATGCACATGTGGTGTGTGATGCCACAGACGGCTCTACGGTGCCACATACCGCACGTTGACGCTCATCTGGATGTGACCCCAGAGGCAGCAGTCAGGGAATAGAGGTGTCCTTAGCAGAGGGGCTGCTGTGAAACTGCACTGCCATGAAGCCTGAATCAGAGCCAGTGCAGAGTAAACATAAATGCCCTGGCATCCCCAGATCTCTGCAGATCCACCCAGGTTGGGAACAAGACCATGGAGGTATACCTTTTCCCCGAAGGAACAATCAGGTCTGAACTTAAGGTGATTTCCTCCCACCCCCAGGTTTTCCCTTTGGGCTGTAGTCATTAATTGTGTGCTCGGTTTTTTCATTCATATTAGAAAGTCAGATATCATCAGCATAAACCAAGAAAGGAAAAAAATACCTCCCTGGGAGCCTGTCAGCTTAGTGCTATGCTGAATAAACCAGCTTGGTGAGCAAGCCAGAGCCTTTCTACTAGAAGCAGTATTGTCATGTGCAGCGCTGCCACCACCTCTTCCTTTAAACCCCTCCTGAAAACCTCCCTCTACTACACTGCCTGCTCAGAGCTCCCCTATGGCACTGATTGGGAAAGAGACAAGTGCAGACTTCTCTTTTTCTGCTAAATCCTGCTTGTTTCATTTCCTCATCTTCCTATCCTACCTCCACTCTAGCCGTATGTGTGTACCAGCCGCGTCATGTCTGACACCTGGGCTGTAAGGCCCTCTGAGACAGGTTGTTTTCTCATCTGTATGGTGGCTGGTACAACTGGGCTCTGATCTTTTACTAGGATTCTAGGTGCTACTGCAATACAAATCATAAATAATAGTGTGTTGGCCCACGCTGTTCTGGGGAGAAGCAAATAGCTGATCAGTATTTAAAAATCATCTCTTTAAAGGAAGAGGCAGCTTGTTATATGCTGTCTTAGTGCCTTTGGTTTACTCTCCTTCCCTTTCTTTTTCCTATGTAGATTTTATCCATCGGTATTTATACTTCAAACATGAGAATCCTGCCCCAGTTCTTCTCTAGGTCCTTCTCTCCGTTGATGCTCATTGCTTTTAGCTCATAGTTGCTTTTCTCCCTGCATTTGTGTGTAAACACTTGCTTATAAATAAACATCTAACTTTCAGTTAATCTGCAGACCTGATTAATTCTCCTGAAAGGCACTGGCAGTCTCACCCCATTTCTCATCTGAAGATTACAAAAAGGGAAGTGCAGCGCGGTCTCGTGCTACTAATGCTTTGTGATTTTTTTTCCTTTGTGCACAACGGGCTTTTAACTAAAGCTTTTGACTGCAGAAATCAAAGGGGATCTTTTTGCTGAAGGGGAGGAGCTTGGGCAGGCACCAAGATGCATCTTTATGCTTAAAGAAAATTACATTCTACACAAAAAAATATGCATGTTGTATGAGAGGTGCTTGTGCTCCCGCCCTCTCTGCTAATTCTCAAAGCTGGGTAATGCACAATGGGTCTCCTGTTCATTTTGTGCATACAAGGAAGGCTTTGAACCCACATTACACCTTTGTCATCTTGTTTTCCACCTTATCTTGCAAAAGCCTGTCTTTTTGCTCATTAATTACACTGAAATGGGTTGTCGGTTATTAAAGATGGCTGAAAGCTCCCTTGCCCTGACCTTCCTTATATCTAAAGTTTGGTAACCAGCAAGACCAGTTTTGAAGCCATTTTGAAGCATTGATATTCATTCTGCTTAAATGGAGACCAGCCAATCCAGCCACCTCTCTGCTCAGAAGCTATTGTATGTTCTTTGATCCACAGCCCTCCTCTGTTCACTGGCAGCCTGCCCAGTGCTTGGGCCCCTGCCTCGCTCTTCACGTAGGCCCTAAAGCATCTGAAAAGATTTTCTCCCCTTCTCTCTCTGTGTGCCGATCCCTCGGCTACCTTTTCCCTTCTACCTTTTCTCGGGAGCTCATCTATTGCTTGTCTGTTCCTTAGTTGAATGCAGACTTGGATCTCACGTAGTTTCTGTACCAATCTATCTGCGTCGGTTACAGTCGTGCCAGCTTTTGCTTTTGGTTTCCTTTTAATTGCTCCAGTTATACTAAAACAATCCATCAGGCAAATGCAGCCATATTATAAAAGGTGGCTTGTGTTATTACAGTTAATTTCCCTTGCCAAGTCAAAATAACCTATATTGATATAAGGATGCTTGTACCAATGTAAATCATCCAGACTAGCTAGGTTGCACTGTTTATACCAGTATAGTCAAAGCTGTAAAACTTTTTTGTGTAGGACCAGGCCAGTGCTTTTATTTTACGGCTTGGTAAGCTCCGTACCAATAACTCACCAGGCCCTGTATAGGGAGCTTTCAAAACCCACTGGCCCCAGTCGTAGGCCTGTTGAAGTTCACGATTCCAAGGGTGCAGGATCAGTCCTGCTGCTTCCTTTCAGTTCCAACAATACTGGTCGCTAACTAGCCCTTCCTTCAGCTACTCACCAACATAGAGGATTTCGTTTCAATTCAGTAAACCCTCGGGAGCAGTCCCTTCAGGACCTTTCCTCCCTGGTATTGATTTTTCACTGCCCCCTTGAAGTTATGCCTGGCTCATGTCATCACCCTGCTTGCAGTGACTCACAATACCCTGTCTCAACCAGCCGTATTTATACACACCAAGGGGTATCCCAGTGCCACCTGTAGGCTTTCTACGTACCAGCAGGTCAGTAGAGTGAGAGAAGCTTAGAGACTGGGTATTTCTCCAGGGAGAGAAGTCCATAGCATTACTGCTGCTGTAGAGAACATCTGTGCTTTGAATACCTGCACTTTTGTCCAAATAACAGAGGCTATTTCCTCACCCCTTTCCCTTTCTTTTATCTATTCCTTCCTGGATCTTTCTGTAGTTCATTTCATTCTCTCTCAGTGGGAGTATCTGGTTTTCAGTTCCTCACTAATCACTGCTTCTGAGCCACATAAACTAGAAACACAAAAGCAGCCACATTGGGCGCATCTACACAAGACGCTAGAAGCGCGGTAGACTAATTCTACTGTGCATTAGCACATTGCAGTGAAAGCTGTGCTAATGCGTAAACTAATTCTTTTATTTTTCTTTCAGTAGAATTAGTCTACTGTGCAACAGTGTCATGTAGAAGATGTGCACCGGTGCTACTGCGCAGTAGTGCTGGTTACGGCGCATTAAGCTAGTACCTGTTATTACAGGTACTAAATTTCATGCGCCATAATTCCAGCACATTAATGCACATGGAAATGTGTCCATTGTTTGGGACAGGATACAGTCTGGTCCCCTCCACCCTGCAAAATGTGAATGCAATGAATGGCTAGCTTGTTCCAGAGTATTTCAACCAACTGCAGCAGGTCCCCACACATCCTATGCACCTTTGCAGCTCTGTTTTTGTCTCCAGGAGGAGAAAAGATGTTAACTTCCTTCCTCTTCCCTAACCCATGGTGACTCATATGAGGTAAAACCCTAATGAGGATAAGGCAGTAGTAGCATTAATATGGGTTAACTGATGAAGACAAATGCTGGGCTCTCTCTCAACCGTGTACTGCTGCTGTGCAAAAACTACAAACCACCATGAGCTCATTAGGATTTTAGCCTGCCTGGGGTAAGAACACACCTTTAACCTGGCAGGGCTGCAGCTTGTGTGCAGAAAGGCACTCACTTCAGCTACAAGCTAGCCTGGCTGAAATATGCAGCATTTACATCATTTAAGCTGGTGACAGTAGAGACGATGGGCTGAATCTTAGCTCATTTTATGAAACAGGATTTCACGTGGTTGCACAGGTAAAATAGTACTTATGCAGCCATGGAACTGCAGTTTTGGGCACTCACGCCCAGCTTGAGATTCTGCTTTACCCTGCAACAAAACAATTGCCCTATGTATCCCCGAAGTGTAGACATACAGCTGCCCACCTGCCATTTAGGTTCATGAAGGAGAATAAGATTTAGCCCTGTGTTTCTGCTATAACAGACCAGACCCTTCATACCAAACCCAGGAATGTCTAGGCCTGACAGAGGAAAACTAGGAGGCCGTATGTTTGTGACTCTTATCGGCTGAGCTCATTCAACCTCCCAGGAGACTCCTTACATCTATCCAACCCAGCCCCCAAATCCTTCGGGCCTCCCACCTTTTTCTACTTCAGGGACTCCCTGCTAATCCTCCAGTCTCTCCCCTATGCTTTCATATGTCCCCATTCCTTCTCCTCCCATAGTGTGGGCCCCTTTAGTCCCCTCTATGTGCAACCTTTGTCCCCCATATGAGGCTCCAACCCCCTCTCCAACCTGTGGATGTATGTGCTTCCATGTTCCCTTCTTCCCTTCCAGGCTTTCCCCACCCCAGCAGGGTCTCTTTGTGTGTCCGCCATTTGCACTAAACAGATGTCCTGCTGGTACCCAAAGTCAGTAGGGTTCTGGGCTCAGTGCCTGGAGGTGTAGGACACGACCGAGCACAGGGATGCCCTCAAACTGAGTGTAAGCTTCTGCAAACACAGCCAACAACATGGGTCGCACCACTGAATATTTACATTGTATAGCTTCAGCGTGACTTCCTTTCCTCCTCTTGCCTTTGATACCATTTGAATTTCAGTCAATAAAAACATCATAACAAAATGGGGCAGCCAGTTTGTAATCATTTAAGGTCCTAGCCTGAACTTTCTCACTGCCTGAACTTTCTCACTGCTGCAGCAATCTGGATCCTGAGAGAGGTGGCTACAAAGGTGTTTTCAAATGCCATGGTCAGCTTTGGGAGGGTGCAGCACTGGGGTCCAGGCCTTTCTA